TCGTATGTTTTCCATTGTCGGCTCTTCGTGTACCTCTTTCGTGCGTTACGTTATGCTCTCAACGCGCCGTAGGTTGTGGATGGATCGGAGGTTACGGACGACACTCGAATCATTTAACTGAAGTTCGTCGTCACATACTGGCCAACACACCCAAGTAATTTTCTGCTGCCCAGTTCAATGCATGCCACTGAATACTAGGCGACCCTACAACGTCGTTGGCCATATCTGGAGGTCGTTCTACATAACATCTTGTTCAGAACCGCAGCGTGCAACATCTATTACTGGAGATTGCGACTACGCATATCCGGAGCCGTTTCATCGTCCGCAGGCAAGTTAGACTGTGCGTCTCACAATAACAGATCGAGAAGTACTTCGTGACGTCCACGGACTTGATTCGATCTGGAAGGCTCAGTACGAGATCCTCATTGTAATATTGATGGCGATTAGCTTTCGGCCTTACATAGTCCGACAAACTGAGTGGTGTCGTCTAGCGGGGAATATCTCAAGTGATCTTCGTATAATATTTATACAAAATTGGATGTTAATACTACTGGAGGTTGGCGGAAGGCAGTCATCGATAAGCTCACATGGTTTTTCTACTGCGTATTGAGACAAAATGGCTTAAGTACAGTCCGCAGCCTTCTAGTAGGGTTGAAACGTCTTCTAGGCACTCTCGAGACCGGGAAACTTATTCTCGTACATCATGATATCAACGGGCGCTTAATGCGCGCAGCACTAGCTGCACGCGCCCTGACTGCGAAGATTCATTGGTCCGCCTGCTTAAGTTTTAATTAGCCTCCCCGACTAGGTGAATGTCCTGATAAAATCGCTTCGTATTCAACCGATAAGACGATGCAAAATATTTACGATGTGTCTTCCATGCTCACTTGTCAAATCAAGACGAGGCATCGCTCTGCAACCGCATCTAAATGAGTGAAGACAGAAAGGAATATGTACCAACACTGGTTGTTATTATCTTTGTGCGGAGGTAGAGCCAACGACGGATGGCGCAGATTAAATTGTCCAGGAGTATCAGTCGTAAATAATACAGACCAAAGATCCAGCATCTCTGACCATCGCAAACTTAAAGGTCAGATGGGACCTACAAAAATATAAAAGTGCCCTAGAATAAACTATGTCACAGTCATATACAACCAAAATATGAGCATAGCGTGTTGGCTACTACATGGGCGGCCCGTCTTGTTTGCTACTCAGCAGCCTAGATCTTGAAGTGCACCTGCCGGCAGAAAATTTCAATGGGCCTACTAGAAAATACAACATAGATATGAGTCCCCTAATATACATCTTTACTCTGTGTTCAGGCATTGACTTATCGAAATCGATGTGTTTGCACCGGAGACAAGAACCCTTTTGAGTCGCTCGCAAAACCTACACAAAACCTTCCACATTTGTCAAGTATATGATCGAATTGGTGTGCACAGCAACATACTTAAAAGCAAATCAAATATTTTGAGTTTGGATGGCCCGTTTAGGTAAAATACGTGATAAGGATATGTCCGAGTTGCATATGTATTTACATATATAGAATATGCGATAGAATGTGCGCCACGCGCAAAACCTTCCAATTATTTAAAATATGCTACCCTCACATATTCTGTCAAATCAGCCAAATACGGTGATATTTCGGCATCACATATTTTAAACAATCGGAAAGTTTTTATGCGACTCGGACATATCCTTATCATGTATTTTACCTAAACGGGCCATCCAAATTCAAAATATTTGATTTGCTTTATTGTTCGTCACATATCCTTCCGCAAACTTTGAGCACGTGATAGGATTTGCTGCGCACAATTCAATCATATACTTAAATGCGGAAGGTTTTGTGTAGGTTTTGCGAGCGACCCAAAAGGGTTCTTGTCTCCGGTGTTGTGTTCGGTTGGCGTAGACGGTTGAACTTTATGTAAGATTCCGCCAATTATGTAATGTCCGCGGTGTGACCTGCCCTGAATCTTTCATTCACAGGTCCGACGCAGCTTCAGGTTACAAGGTCCCTTCGTACTATCATCATGTCTGGCTTCGACGCAAATCACGTCTACAATGTCTCTGTACATGATCCTCCCGCGGCGTCTGCACCAGACTCCCCATCGGAGAGCGAAAAACTTTTATTCGACTTTCTTCTCCAGTATCGTGTTGGAGGCGAATTCATCTACCGGTGAGTACAACCAGAACTCCGAACGCGTCTTTCATGTTATTGACCATGCTCTGCATTATTAGAGACAAATTGAGAGGGAATCTTCTGTTGAAGCAGCATCAGCTAGAAGTCGATTTGCGTCACGTTGGTTTGTACAACGATGAGCTTGCCCATGCAATACAAGACAGGCCTGCAGACATTTTACCATTGGTGAGTACAGAAGAGTCCAAGATGAATGATGCACTACTTAGTGGATGCCGCAGTTTGAGAATGCCGCTACCAAGGCTGCACGCACCATTCTCTTCCCACTCGCGAATGGGTCCGAGGAACGCACAGAAGCCGCTTCCCAGTCGATACCCAAAGTACAAGTAACTCTCAAATCCGGCCTTAACATGCTCCAATTTCGCGATCTCACAGCCAACACGATGAACAAGTTAGTCCGTATACCAGGCATTGTCATCTCCGCTTCCGTTCTCTCCTCTCGTTCGACAAAGCTACACTTGCAATGTCGCGCATGCAGATCTACAAAAATTATCTACCCGCCTGGTGGAATGGGTGGATTGGGTAGTGGATCTGATCGTGGGTTGCCGAGAACGTGTGATGCCCCAGAACTGGAGAACCAGAAGAAAGACTGTCCGATGGACCCTTACATAATCGTACACTCCAAGTCGTCGTTCGTGGATCAGCAGACTCTGAAACTGCAGGAGGCTCCTGATATGGTACCAGTTGGAGAGCTTCCAAGGCACATGCTTTTATCAGCGGATAGATACCTAACAGGCAAAGTTGTGCCCGGATCCAGGGTGGTCGCGACCGGGATATACTCAACTTTCCAGTCCGCAAGGAATGTGAGTAACCCGTTCTACTTATTTTGACTCATCCGACCATTTCCTTTGGCTCGTAGAAATCTGCAGGTCCTGCCGCTTTACGTCAACCTTACCTACGCCTGGTTCACTTGGAGACATCTGGATCTTCGAATGGCGCTGGGTCTAATCCTTTCGGCGTGCAGTTTACGCCAGAAGAAGAAGAAGAATATGGCGAAATGGCAAGAAGCGATGGCTTCTATGAACGATTTGCTAAAAGTGTTGGCCCGAGTATATACGGAAGTCTAGGTATGGACTCTCTTTGCCATTTCCATATCCTACTTAATTGGTATTCAGATATTAAGAAGGCCATAACATGCTTATTATTCGGTGGCTCCAAAAAGGTTTTGCCTGATGGCATGCGACTACGTGGTGACATCAATGTTTTACTTCTTGGTGATCCTGGTACCGCGAAGAGTCAATTGCTTAAATTCGTCGAGAAGGTTGATTTCTACTCTGGATTGGAAGGGTTTGAACACTGAAGGTGCTCTTCAGGTTGCTCCAATTTCCGTCTACACTTCTGGCAAGGGGTCCAGTGCAGCTGGTTTGACGGCTTCGGTCCAACGCGATTCTGTTTCGGTCGGTACCCATTTTCCACTACGCTCTGCCATGCTCCTAATCTATCAAATCCACAGCGCGAATTCTATCTTGAAGGCGGAGCTATGGTCCTTGCTGACACTGGAGTAGTTTGTATCGACGAATTTGACAAGATGCGGGACGAGGACCGCGTCGCCATCCATGAAGCTATGGAACAGCAGACGATATCAATAGCTAAAGCTGGTATCACTACTGTCTTGAACTCGCGGACCAGTGTCCTTGCGGCGGCAAACCCTGTGTGGGGACGATATGACGAAGGCAGAAGTCCTGGTGAAGTATGGATTGGACTTTTGATTCAATTTTTGCAGGGCTAATAGCACCTCTACAGAATATTGACTTCCAAACCACCATTTTGTCCCGGTTTGATATGATATTTATCGTGAAAGATGAGCACAATGAAACGCGGGATAAGGTGAGCCTGATACGCAATATAGAAGCACTTCCGCCAACTACTTTTTTAGATGATCGCGAAACACGTCATGAATATTCATATGAATCGACCAAATCAAAATGCAGACGAAAATGGCGAGGCCGTTGGCGAAATAGATATCGATAAGATGAAGCGGTATATCGCCTACTGCAAAAGGTCAGCCTTCGTACAACTTGGATGTTCTTATTCTGACTTGCGGTGGTGTTGCAACAGTAAATGTGCACCTCGACTGTCACCAGATGCACAGGAAATGCTGAGCAGTCATTTCGTGAGTTTGCGACAGCAAGTACAGCAAGTGGAACGTGACAATGACGAAAGGAGTTCCATCCCGATTACTGTCAGGTAAACCGTAGTTATATTGATGGCCTTTCAACGCGTTGACAAAAGATATCTAGGCAACTTGAAGCCATCATCCGCATTTCCGAGTCTCTGGCGAAGCTTACGCTCTCGCCTGTTGTACAAACCCACCACGTCGACGAAGCCATCCGATTGTTCAAGTTCTCGACAATGGATGCCGTCTCAGCTGGCTCTGCGGATGGTCTATCCCGTGGCGAGCTGAACGAGGAGATGACGCGAATTGAGAAGGAACTTCGCCGGCGGTTGCCTGTCGGTTGGAGCACGAGTTACCAGAGCTTGGTGCGCGAGTTCGTAACGCAACAGCAGTACTCGAGTCATGCACTTGAGCGAACTTTGTTCATCCTAGAAAAACGAGAGATTATTCGGTTCTCAGGACAGGTGAGTGGCGTTTTTCTCTTGTATATGCCTCCTCATTGTCGTCGCCCGCAGAAAAAGGTAGTGCATAGAGTTGGTGTTTGATCTGTTGGCCCATCCGCTTGTATGTCTTGTTTCCATGTATCACCCTTGTATTATTATTTGAGACAAGACAAGGTTGGTTGGTTTTGGAATGGACATTATCTTGAGATACAGTTATGGTACCCGAGTATATCATTACGGACAGGCCCGCCTAGCTCAATCGGATAGAGCGTCAGACTTTTATCTAGGCGGTGCCATACCGATTCCATTAGATTTGGCATCTGAAGGCTGCGAGTTCGACCCTCGCGGTGGGCTAGAATTTTTCCTGTGCTCACCTACCTGCATTTTTACCCTGCTTTTACGCCAGGATGATGTCATGTACTCGCGCAACTTGTTCGTTTTCTCTGTCTGCCACACAACTTGGAAATCATAGTTAGAAATTTAGACTTTCATGGTTTCCTCATTGTTGTTTGTGAAATTTGGGTTATGATAATGAGGGAGGAGGTAATTATTAGTTTAGGATCATGATTTAACTATTTTTGCACCACTGTCAGCATGTTGCTTAAAGCTTTATGGGCGGGCTCAGCAGCACAGTGATGCGGTGGATCCAGCCATATCCCGAAATGGAAATTTTCTAAGATTCAGCGCGATCACGTGCTTCGACCGAAAATGTGGTCGCAAGTCTTTTAACAACGACTGAGATAAAAATTTGCTTGCACAGATCTATAGTTTATATATATGTCAATTGATCTGTGCAATCATTTTGTTTGATTTTGAGCAACTGCCAGCAGAGATAGCGTTTCCGTGACAAAACTCACAAATGAGGAAGTGGCTGAAGCTTGGATGCTGAAAACCTATCTGCTCACTCATTTGTTAGAAATAGATGAAATATTTTATAAGATCTATTTCTTGGGATCTGTGCAAACAGAATGTTATCTTAGTCGTTGTTGAAAGACCTTTAGGCTTACAACCACATTTTCGCTTGAAGCATGTGATCGCGCTGAATATGAATGCGGTTTATTTTTATTTGTGATCCTTAAACCGAAGCTATTTATCCAGAATATGTTTACCCCACAACAAGTCCCGCTTAGCTCAGTTGGTAGAGCGCGTCACTAGTATGCTTACGTAACGCAATGACGAGGTCAGTCGTTCAAGTCGGCTAGTGGGAAAATGTTTTTTTATTATGCCCGCTACTTTAGTAGTGGGTTTTAGCCCGAGGCAATCAGTTTGTAAGTTGTTCAGTTTTTTGCAGAGGATTTCAAGATTTGGAGATTTTCTTTGTACATGTGTATTTACTGTGACATAGAACCCCATGGTTTTCTTTTTCTCAAAAGTTGACTTGCACCCTGTCAATTAATTGCAAGTTTAATCTGTTATTTGGTCTCTAGTTCCATTGTGGACTTGAACTTTTTTTTTGGGGGGGGCAAAGGTCATATAAATGATTCAATACAATATCTCGGCATACAAATGTTTGAACATAGGAGGTGTGATGCCATTGTGTGTGTCTATTTATTACATGGCTCATCCATTTTTTCCAAGTCTCATCCTCAACTGTGTGCATGTGTTTGTCCTGTGTATTTCCTCATGTCCTGTATATGTCTCTACAGAAGTCTTGCAGACTTTCCTGCACTGATCCTACTTGTATACACTCAACACAGTTTACCTGTACTCCTTGCGATGTCACTTCTGTGTGTGGGGTTGCTCATATCAATTATTCAGGTCCTGTTGTCATTCCTACAATCAATGGGTAGTTTCACTCTCAACTACCATTCAAAATCTCCCACCTACCGTGTGGTGATGTCATTCTGGAAGCTGATTAGCTCACTACTGTAAGCATGCAAAGACTGTCTGCCACAAATGCAGTTATGCCAAAAGGCAGAATAATCAACAGTTGTACTGTTGACTACCAAACAGTATTTATGCTGATTATGGAAACTCAGGTAAGCAAGCTTACACTTAACATTTGGTTGATGGTTTTATTCAACCATTCACTGGAGCCATTGGTTTCCGGATGATATGCAATAGACATTTTAAGATTGACACCGTGGAAGCTCGTCGGGGTGTGACGCCCGAAGAGAAACACTAAGACAATGAAAAAGTGGGGACTCACAAAGACACACAAGGAAAGAAATTGGGACAAGAGTATATTCTGAAAAGCTAGACAAAGGATGGTGGTTCAGGAGGAAGGAAGGTAATCTCTGATGACAGGACCGTACGGATATGGTAATGTAATACATAAGCATGCTCGAAATGGTAAGCTAGTCTTACACTCCCCCAACGATAAAATCAGCGAAAGGTATGTAGCGAAAAACAAAGGAAAAAAATTTATCACAACACCAACAGACATTGCATGAGGCGGATTAAAAACCGCGGTGGAAAAATCATGTCAAAAACCAACCGGGAAAAGCTACCACGAGTCAGGGCCATCACCACCAGACTTATACCATTGGTTGAGGGCTTCGCATTCATTTAGTTCGGAGGCTGCGATCCAAAGGTCGTGTCCGTAACCGACCCAATGGACGAGGAATTGATATCCCCGACCATGTTTCTGAGAGTTGATGATTTTGTCTACAAGGTATTCTTCAAGGCCGGCAGAGGTAAGAACAGGTGGTGGTTGGGACAAGACTTGCGTGGGAAATAGTATAGGGTCGTTGTTGAGATGTCTTTTGAGTTGGGAGACGTGAAACACGGGGTAAGCGTTAGTGTTAAGTTGCAAGGTATATGTTGATGCCTTGGGATGTGCGTCAGTAATTTTATACGGGCCATCCCACCGAGGCAAAAACTTAGCGACATGCTTTTCACCCTTCTTGTATTCGTGGTGGCGATTAGTAGTCGATAGCATGACCATTTCGCCAATGTCGAAGTGCGGTTCAGCATTTCATGCAGAGCTGGCGTAGTGAGTTTGCAAAATCTTGGAAAGCAGCAAGTTATCACATGCGTTGGCGACATCGTCTGCCAAAGTGTTTATAATCGATGTGGCCGTTCGGCCGGCATCTGCAAGATCATCAGGCAGAGTAGAAGGTACAATGGGTGGTATAATTCGGGGGGAATGCCCCAGGTGGAGTTGGAAACCAAAATAACCAGTTGAGGCATTTACCATATTCATAATTTGAAAACGGATCCGCGGCAGCGCTCGTACCCATCCCTTCTGGTTCCTTTTCACGTGGTAACGCAGCATCTGGTTGATTGTTTTATTGGATCGTTCGCTCGATCTGTCAGTCTCGGGATGATAAGATGTTGACATCTTCAACTTAACGCCAGTGAGTTTAGTTAGCGCTTTCCAAAATTTTGACACAAACAACTTGTCACGGTCACAAGCAATGTCGTCCGGGAGGCCGTTTTCACAGTACCAGTGGTCAAAAAATAGCAGTGCCAGGTCTTCCGCGGTAATATTGATTTTGGTAGGAATTATTTGGATATCCGCACTGAGGCGATCAGTAATTGACAAAATGCAGTCTGCATTGTTGTCAATCGGTAATGGACCAATGAAATCCATGGCAATGCTGGAGCCTCGGCGGTCAGGAACAGGCAGTGGGTGCAGGGGTCCAGCTACCTTCATAGTGCGGGATTTGTTTCATAGGCAGTCAACACAGGAGGGTATGTAGGCCTGTTCCAAATCGCGACACATGTTCGGCCAATAATATGTATTACGGGTCAGTGACGCGTGGAATTAGCAATCAGTCACCTATGTACCAGAGTCCATTGATTTGCTGCCAGCCCTTCATTTTGGTCGCCGCGACGCGTTTGCAAAATTCATCATCGACATAACTGGCCTTAATCTTGGCAAGTATGGAGGCATCAGTAGCGATTTGCAATGCGGCGTTAATGGATGATTCCGGGGTAGACGTCGTGATTTCGTCAGGATAGGAGTCCGGTGGTAAATGGGAAAGTGCATCGGCAACTGTATTGTCCTCGCCGCGGATGTATGTTATAGTCATGTCATACTGTGACAGGAATTCTTGCCATCACAGTTGGCGGCGGGACAAATCCTTCTGCGTATCAAAATTTTCGAGCGTTCGGTGGTCAGTGTAGACATAAAATTGGGTGCCTAAGAGGTCGGCACGCCATTTCTTTAAGGCTCGTATGATCGTGAGGAGCTCTTTTTCATGAACCGGATAGTTCTTTTCAGCACCTTTTAGCTGCATTGAATCAAAAGTGACAGGTCGGGATAGTTCCCAAGTTGGACCAAAACTGAGTGTTGCGCCCATGTGCCAATCACTGGCATCGCACATGACATATATGTTATTGTCACGTGGATCCTCATGATCAATAGTTGTTAAGCAGTCGGCGCTGACAACAAGCGCTTTGATTGCGTCGAATGCAGTTTGGTGTTCTGTAGTCCATTCTGGAAATGATTTACGGGATTCTTTGGTTGTTAACGGCGTCAGTATAACAGTATGGTCAGCCAAGTGGGGCAGGAAAACAGCAACGTAGCGGACGAGGCCAAGGAAAGAGCGGACTTCTGTGGTGGAAGTAGGTACTGGCCAGTTCAGTACACGATTGACCTTAGAGGAGTTCGGTTCGATTCCACGGGCGGAGATATGATGCCCGAGGAAATCAAGTTCCTTGAGGTAAAACCGGCATTTAGCAGGGTTGCAGTATAGGCGAGCTTTACACAGTGCAGCCATGACAAGGGCAATGTGCTTTGTGTGTTCAGCAACGTCACTGGACCAGATTACAATATCGTCGAGATAAATGTGGCAAATTTTGCCAATTAGTTCTCGCAGAGCAGCGGTCATGCGGCATTGGTGGATAGCTGGTGAGTTGCGAAGACCCATCGGCATCGCTAGCCATTCGTAGAGGCTGAGTGGTGTAGTCACAGCCGTTAGATGGATATCATCCGGATGTACGCGTGTTTGGAAAAAGGAATTTGTCATATCCATCTTCGACCAGATTTTCCCTTTGGTGCAGTCGGTGAGGATGTCATCCACACGCGGCAGAGGATGTGAGTCAGTGACAGTATTTGTGTTCAGAGCACGGTAATCATTTACCCAACGCGGTAGTACCACAGTATCGGATTTTGGTACGAGAAACGCTGGCGAGGCGTGTGCAGAGTTAGAGGGACGGATTCGGCCGGCATCGAGGTGCTGTTGAATCAGCATAGACCAGGCTTCTTTGTATTTATGTGGAGTACTGTAAGAACGGGTGGCAAATGTTTTAGTAGCATCCTTGAGTTGAATACAGCAATAAATGTCGGTGGGCAGGTCATCAATGTGTGGAATGGGTGAGAATACGTCCTTGTATTTGTCTTTAACAGCATCACTTAGACGTTCTAGCTGTTCTTGCGTATTGAGCATTTCAATGTGGTCCCTCACCGCTGCCACAAGGTCAATCAGCGTAGTTTTCTCAAGTTTGTGATCAAACAGGGAGCGCCGTTCCGCACAGATCATTTTTAGTTCAGCAACAAGTAATTTCCGATCTTCTTTAAGGTCACGGAAAAATTCTTTTAATTTATGTTGCGGCGGTTTTGAGGTAGCAGGGGGAGTCGGGTGTAGAAGATCATAACCTGAAACTTTGTCTACTGCAGTTCGGAGGGCATGGTCAATCACAATGTTATTATGAGCCAGGAACGGAAGGCCTAATATTACAGGTGCACATAGAGAAGGTGCAATAAGGGCTCGTACGGTTTTCGAAGTCCAATTCCCAACAGGGTCATACAATTTGAGCTTAACATATTCTGGGAGTTTGAGAGTTCATTTGGAGTTTTGGTCTGGCATGGCAAGTTCTACAGGCATGGGTTCGACGAGTTTTCAGCGCTTGAGCGACAGTTCGGTGACAAGATCGTTGCTGATCAAGACTATATGCGATCCGTGGTCAATTAATGCATTTAATGTGATTGGGAATGAACCCGGAGCACCACTGACAGTGCAGCGCCAGAAAAAATGCGGTACTGAGATCGGAGCAATATCATCTTGCTGTGCCATCGGCACAGAGGCGGCGACATAGTTCGTAACGGGGGGGGTATTAAACAATGGACTTACAGTATCATCAGAATCTGTGTCATCACCCTCCAAGACATTGGAGTCGTTCAAGGGCATGTATGCGACGGCAGATGACGATCTACCCATGATGGCAGCAACGGGAGCAGTAGACAGCGATGCGGAGTTATCGTTGGTGGGTTGCATAACGGCTGCCACAGGCTTCTTATTCCTACGCATCTTGATGTAAT